GCCTGCTACCCTCTTGTGCTCCAAGGATCAGCAAATGGCTCTCTTGCTGCCCCCAGAGCTGGATACTGAGGGCCTTGCCATGGCTCTCTTCCTCCCCACTGCCCCTAACTGATAGCTCTAGAGCTCTGCCTGTGCAGCCTCCTGGAGCTCCCTCCTGTTACCAGGCATGCACCCAAGCCCAGCCACCCAGCCTCCTCCTGCCCCAGACATTTTCTAAAGTGAAAAGCCCACCAAGTCACTTCCGCTCAGGGGCAATCACTGCGCCTCCAACCACAGAGCTCTGGTTCTGGCTGGTTGGGCTCCCCACATGCTTCTCTTCTGCCTGATCCCTGTCCTACCCACTTGTGATAGAAGGTTTTGCAACCCGTTCTCCATGCCCTTAGTCTGGTAACAGCACCTCAGACTTTCCTTGGTGAATGTTCACCTGCACCCCCATGGTGGGTATGTAACCCAGACCTATGATGGTGTATACAACAATTAGTTTGGGAATGCAAGAATCCTTGGACAATCTGAGGGATGTCCCCAGGACTTCTGCTGGGATCCCTGGGGAGGGGTGCTGCTGCCCACTGGGGTTGCTGTCAGTAACATATAAGCTTGGGACTACCAGGGGCCAGCAAGTAAGGGAAGCTGACCTGAAGCCAAAGCAGAGCTGAGGGACTGCACACAGGATCCAAGCACCTGGACCTGAACCTACCCCTGCAATTTTGAGTTACGTGAACCAGCGAAGTCCCTTTATGACTTGCACTGGTTTGCATTTTTTTTCCTCCCAGTTACACGCCATCCAGATCAGTTCTAGGAAGAGTGGGTGGCTTCCTCCACTTGTTCCCATTTATCTGTTGTTCTTTGCGTCTCAGTGAGGATTCACATCTGCCACCCAGCTTCACCGTGAGCTGTCAAGGGCAAGGATGGAGCCTGACTCATCATCATCCTTCACTGCCAGCATGAGGCTGGTGCATGGTCAGCCTAGGAGGGATCCAAGGGGGAGAGGAAGCCATGAGGGATATTTTCTGAGCAGATCCCCATCCTTGCTTTTGGTGTTACTGCGTTCCCTCTTGATCACCTCAGGAAAGAGATAAGATTCCTCCTTTTGGGAAAGAGAAGTAATGAGAAAGGAAGGTTCTCACTGCTTCTGCGGGCTCTCTCAGACTGAGCCCACCTGTGACCTTCAGACACTCAGTGAGTGTGATGGATGGATGTAGTGTTGGACCACCCAGCATCTTCCCTTTTTCCCATCTGAGGATGCTCCCTTCACCTCTCATTCTAGGTGGTTCCAGGGTGAACCCCTGTCCTCAGCTCCCAGGACTGGTCCTTGAGTGGGGAAGTGAGCTCATGTGTCTAACCTCACCAGGGTGGTGCATTGTATAGACCCGGCCACTAGGCCTGGGCACCTGCCTGACAGACCACAGGAGGTGGGGTGAGAGGGAGACAGCACCATGAAGATGCTATTTGAGCCCCTGGATCTACTTTTTGAGAATAGACCATTTCCTTCTTTTTTGCTCAAGTTGATGTCTTAGTCAGTCAGGCTGCCGTAATAAAATAGCCAGGTGATTCAAACAGCAGACATTTATTTTTCACAGCTCTGGAGGCCAGGAAGTCAAGATTAAAGTGCCAGCAGATTCGGTTCTTTTAGTTCTTGGTGAGGGTCCTATTCCTGGAACATAGACCGAGCCTTCTTGCCGTGTCTTCCCGTGCCCTTTCCTTGGTGGCCCGTGTGTGGAGAGAGAGCAATCTCTTGTAAGGACCCAAATCCCACCGAGCGGGTCCCCCACCCTCATGACCTCATCTAAATCTAATCACCTCATCTAAATCTAAGTCCCCACCTCCAAACACCATTACACTTGGAGTTAGGGTTTCAACACATGAATTTTGAGGGGATGAAGACATTCAGTCAAATGGCCAGTTTGAGGTGCGTTCTTGGTCCAAGAATTGAACAGAGGCCTGAGGTCAGAACTGTGTGGGACTCCAGGCCAGCCTCGTGGCTGATTTAGGGTTTCAGGGGACAGAAGGCAGAAGACGGCCCACCAAAGTCCTGTGCTCAGTGGAGATCTTGGAAGTCCCATCAAAATGGAGCCATTGAGTGGCCCCAGTCACAGGATTACAAGGATTTCTTTGATGGCAAATGAGAGAACACAGAGTCACATCCCCCAGTATCTTCATTGTGCCAGGTGTGAAAGACTGGTAGGGGCACCTGGGTGGCTCAGTAGGTTAAGTGCCCAACTTCAGCTCAGGTCATGATCTCACAGTTTGTAATTTTGAGCCCCAAGTCGAGTTCTGTGCTGACAGCTTGGAGCCTGGAGTCTGCGTCAGATTCCGTGTCTCCCTCTTTCTCTGCCCCTCCCCCGCTCACACTCACACGCGCTCTCAAAAATAAATAAACATTAAAAAATAATAATAAAAGAAAAGCACGTGGTATGAAGTCCCATGGTCAGCCAGCATCCCTGAAATGGGCAATCACGGTGACCTGCCTGTGTGTGTGTAGGGTTGGTGGGAGCCAAGGCAGGGCTTTCCTTCCGGGAAAGGCTTTTCTGTGCTTGCTTGTTAGCAGTATCTCTGCCATGATTCCATCTGTGCACATGGGCATGCCAGGCTGGAGGGCTAAGAGTCTGGATGTTGGCCTATTTTCAGTTATTTTTGCTCACCAACATCTGCAGACCCACGAGAAGATCCAAAGTATTTCACTCCATAGACTGAAATTGGTCAGCCTCGTGACATGGGACAATTTGCATCCCTGGAGGACACAGACAGCCTTGTTCTCCCTGCCCTGGCTTCTCCGCCACAGAGCAGGTCAGCCAGGCGGGCTGTGCCAAGAGGCCAGCCCCGCGTGTGCCTCCATAGCTTTTGGCCTCACAGGGCCGGCCGGGGCCTCAGTCACAGGCCTGCAACTGGTCACTTTGCAGGCATGACAGGAGGCCCGCACTGTTCTTCCTGGGCTGGGGTGGGGCTGTCTGCTTCCCAGGAGCAGGAGGCCCTTTGGACAAGAAGCCTTTCCTGCCAGGCATGAAAGCTTTTGATTTCTTCTTTACGGGAGGGTGATGAAAATATTCTCCAACGGATTGCAGTGATGGTTGCATAGTTCTGAGAATATTCAAAACCATTTTACGCTGAATGTCGTTGGATTATATGCCAACAAAGCCGTTATCGTTATCGATACAACCACATGCAGTGAGGAGTAGACACTACATAGTATCTTTGTAGCCCTTGTCTCCTACCGAATCACACAGCCCGCGCTCACCCGATTCTCAGAGTTGCACAGCATTTCATGGTGGAATGAAATGTTCCACACTCTTCATGAAACCAGGCCTCTGTTGATACATATTGCCAAATTGCTCTCTGGAAGGCTGTACTAACTGACACTTTCTTAGTGTGTCCGATAAGCTGCTATCCTCCATTTTATGGAAGGGATGCTGTTTTGCTCAAGGCCATACCTAACAAGGCAGCACAGAGCCGGAGCGCAAACCTGCTTAGTCCGGCTCTGGGCCGGAGGTCTGCTCCCTGGTGTCCACATCTGCCCCCTCTGGGCCCTGGGGTTGTTGTTTTACCAGAAGTCTGTGGTCTGTACATCTGTCTGTGCCTGGAGGGGCGCCTGGGTGGCTCAGTCAGTGAAGCGCACACCTTTGGCTCAAGTCATGATCTCACGGCTTATGGGTTCGAGCCCCCATGTTGGACTCTCTGCTGTCAGTGCAGAGCCCTCTTCGGTTCCTCTTTTTCCCTCTCTCTCTGCCCCTCTTTCACTTGCTCTCTCTCAAAAATAAGTAAACATTTTTAAAAAACAAAACAAACCAAAAAACACTTGCTAATATCAGACCATCACATGTGGGGGAGGGAGGTTGTATATGCTGTTACAGATTATAAATTTAAAAGTTGGGGCGCCTGGGTGACTCAGTCTATTAAGTGTCCGACTTCGGCTCAGGTCATGATCTCGCCATTCAGAGTTCGAGCCCCATGTCGGGCTCTGTGCTGACAGCTCAGAGCCTGGAGCCAGTTTCGGATTCTGTGTCTCCCTGTCTCTCTCTCTGCCCTTCCCCTGCTCGTGCTCAGTCTCTCTCTCTCTCTCTCTCTCTCTCTCTCTCTCTCTCTCAAAAGTAAACATTAAAAAAACTTTTGTTCAAAAAAAAGAAAAAAGTCTTCAAGACATACCAACCAAAGGCAATGGGTAAATGGTGTTGATATCCTGATTTAAACCAACAAGCTATAAAAAGACGCTTTTGACACAATCGAGGAATATTGAACATACTCCAATACGTATCAATATTAAAGATGAGATGAGTGTTAGATAATATTAATACATTGCTATTAATTTTGTGTGGTGTGATACTGCTATTACAGTCTTAAGAGATTTACACATAATGAATTATTAATGAATCAAATCATAGCAGGACGTGTTCCATTAAAACAAAAACTTGAAAGAGTTAAGACAAAATCAGTTACACATCAATAATTGTTGACTCTGGGGAATGAGTATGAAGGGGTTCAGTCGACTATTTTTGAAATTTTTCAGAACAAAAAAAGCACATGTGGACGTGTATGTCATTGCGTGGGGATACATATTTGCCGAGACCCAAAATATTTTCTAAAGATAATATTGCTAAGGTTAAAAACTGCACCCTCTGGTTTCCATTTACAAGAAAAGAAAGACGGTTTTTGGAGACAGGTCGAGTCATTCCAGAAAGTGTGCAAGACCTGGACGTGCTGGCAGAGTGGAGAAGCCCTGTGAGCTGGTAGATCCCCCCTTACCTCCCACACTCCACCGAAAGTCAAAGTGAGGGTGACAGTTGGCTGTCAGGTTCCAGAAACAGGTGGTGGTACCACCCACATCCCAGGAGGAAGCTCAGGCAGTTCACAAAGATCAGTGCTTGGAGGACCACATCCCAGGAAGGACACGCCTCCACGGTGCACAGCATGTGAAAGTAATGAATGCAGTCTCAGTGACTGGGCGGGCCACCTGGGAGCCCCCAGACACAGCCGAGAGCAGAGTGACAGGGACCAGGGAGAGGGCAAACATGCGCAAGGGTCAACCTCCCCAGGTGAGCCAGGGCCCCCACCCACTCAAGGACAAAATGTGTGAGTGGTTCAGGCACACCTGCCTTCAGGCAGGGCTGGAGCCAACACAGATCTCCTTTCCTGTTTTATCTACACTCTTGGATTCTCCCCACTGGGGTGAAGCTGGCACAGGCAACACCCCCGTCCTATACCCTAATACCTGAGGGACTGGAAGAAAACTTTTTTCTGATGGTTCCGGCCAAACTCCTCTGGGATGACACTCACTGGTTGTTATCAGCCCAGGTCCAGTCCAGACTCCATCCCTATGTTCCCAGTGGTGCCCTCATTGTCCAGACCTGGGCCATGTGCCCACCACAGCACCAGGAGGGAAGGCAGCCCCCTGGGATCCAAGAGGCTAAGAGGAGAGAAGGGATAGCTCCACAGAGGAATCCAGGGTGTTGATCCCAGAGGGAAGGAAAACAGGCCCGAACTCCCCCACTGCCCATCAGTCGCTCCAGAAGTCGCTCCACTGCCTACGTGCCAAGTAAATGCCCAGGCAGACCCTCCCTGAAGCTAGAAGGGGCCAGGAGGTTTTTGTGTCCCCACTGCCTTAACAAACATGGAAACCAGGACACACATGACATAAGAATGGCTCTGGGTCTGCTCTGGGGCCCAGACGCGGCCTCATGGAGCTGGATGGACCCTTGTATAGGATGCTTTTCACTGCCCTATCTGCATGGCCTACCCAGAAATGCTCCTCTCCATCAGAGAGTGGAGAGGGATGCCAGAAGAGTCCTGGACCCCAAACCTTCACCCTCTGTCCCTGCCCCAGGCTCTAAAAATCATAGCCAAATGCCGCTGCTAGACTGGACAACATGGAGGTGACATTAGCCACCACACTCAAAGAGCCTCTCCTCTACGCACTCCCAGAATCTACAGGACATCAGCAGTGTATGGAATAGTCAGTTCAGCTGCCCATGGGGCCAGGCAGGAAACCAAGGCTAAAAGGACAGCCAGCGCCCAGCCTGGAGGGAAGCACAGGGAGGACATGGAAGGCAAGCCCCTCTCAGGACACAGCCACACTCAAGCACTGGGAAACCATCACCAGAATTGCTAGCTCATCTGATTGGTGACGAGCAACTGGAAGCCCAGGACACCCCCTGGGCCCTTCTTAGTCTCGTCTTAGTAGACAAAAAGGTAAGAAAACAGGAATGCGGCATCAGAGTCGACATTAGTGGCACTAGAGTGACCAATTGCCACCCCTGCCTGGCTCCCCCAGGACTGAGGGGTTCCCTGGGGTGTGGGAACTTCAGTACTAACCCCAGGACGGTCCCAGTGAAACTCAGACAACTAGTCACCTTGGGTCACACCCTCAGACAGGATGACAGAGCATTTCCTAAAGGGAGTGGGGAGCGCTGGGTCAGCCTCAGAGGTGCCCAGCCAGAGCATTACCATTCCGAGACCTCAAGGGGCAGGATCCAGAGAGGGCAGTGTGGGAGAGGCCGCCAGACCCAAGGTGAGGCCTTAGGGAGAAGATTTCTATCCTGACCTCACCCCCTCCTTCTCCAGACCTCCTGCTGGCCAGAACCAACCAGAAGCCAGAGGGCCTGGGACCCCTGGGAAGGTCAGCCTCCCAGGGCACAGAGCGGGGGAGGGGTAAAGAAATGGATCTGGTGCCCTTTTGTCCCAGAGGAGATGCTTGCCTGATGTGATGGGGCCAGAAAGAATTCACTGCTCGGAGTAGGCTGAGCTTCTGCTGTGCAGGTGTTACTATCACCAGCTCCTGTGTCTCGGCCAGAGAGCCTCCAGGGCCCGCACCTCCTGGGGTCAGCTGCTGCTCTCCGTTCACCAATGCCAACAGCCAATGCATGCAATCCCAGATTTCTGCTCACCCGCAAGGACAGACCCCCACTGTCTCCTGGCTGGGCAGAGCAGAGGCCCAGCTCTGCCTGGGTGCAATGGCACCGGAAGTGCGTTGACAGTGCTGGCATTTCTGGGCCACATCCGGGCTTCTTCACAGCACAATTCTTTCTTTTTTTCTTTCTTTCTGTCTGTCCCTCTTTCTTTCTTTCTCTCTCTCTTTCTCTTTCTTTCTTTCTTTCTTTCTTTCTTTCTTTCTTTCTTTCTTTCTTCTTTCTTTCTTTTTATATATCTAGGGGAGCCTGGGTGGCTCAGTCGGTTGGGTGTCAAACTTCAGCTCAGGTCATGGCCTCACTGCTCTGTGCTGCAAGCTCGGAGCCTGGAGCCTGCTTCGGATTCTGTGTCTCCCTCTCTCTCTTTCCTCTTCTCTGCTCATGCCTCTGTCTGTCTGTCTCTCTCTCTCTAAAATAAATACACATTAAAAAATTTATTTTTAAGTTTTTATATATTTATTTTGAGAGAGAGAGAATCCCAAGCAGGCTCCATGCTGTCTGCAGAGATGGATGTGGGGCTCAAACTCACAAACTGCTTGTGAGATCATAACCTGAGCCGAAATCAAGAGTCAGACGCCTAACGGACCAAGCCACCCAGGCGCCCCCACAATTCTTTCTAATCCAAAGATCAAACTCTGGCTACAAAACAGTATTTGTGGTATAACCATATTATTGTTTAAATAATGACTACCAATGCAAAGAATATTGTTTTGGGGCGGTTGTAAAAAAACTTGATAGGATTAACCCTTACAAGATTCTTTTTTATTTCCTTCCTAAAATGAATGTGTATCTTTCCTGGAAGAACAAAGTTATACAGATTTATAATTAACTTTGTTATTTTGTTAAATTAATTTCCAGTCATAAAAGAATATGGGAGCTCAGGCTTGTAACAGAACTCCTCCTCAGTCCCTGCAGAAGAGAGAAAGAAGTTGGAAAAAGTCCGTGGCTCCAAGGAACTCTTTTTTTTTTTTTTTTTTTATTAAAAAAAAATTTTTTTTTTTTTTTTTACATTTATTTGTTTTTGAGAAACAGAGTGAGACAAAGCGTGAGCAGGGGAGGGGCAGAGAGAGAAGGAGACACAGAATCCGAAGCAGGCTCCAGGCTCCGAGCTGTCAGCCCAGAGCCCGATGTGAGGCTCGAACCCACAAACCGTGAGATCATGACCTGAGCCGAAGGCGGACGCTCAACCGACTGAGCCACCCAGGCGCCCCTCCAAGGAACTCTTTAGGAAGGTCACCTCCATGCTGAGCTGAAAGGGAAGGGAGGGCCTCCCTTGCCTCAATGCTGGCCTTGGGGGTGGGAGAGTGGGGGCAGCCATCTGGTAACCCAAAATGAGCCAGACAACGCTTCCCCTCTCCCATGCCCCGGCCAACCTCCTGAAGCCTTACTCCCTCCAGGCCTACACTCAGAGCAGAATTCCTGCCTCAGTTTCCGATCCAGATCTCCATTGCTGGCTGTCCTCAAACCCTGGTCCTGGGGCCAGTCGTTAAGACCCTCCCTAGCCCTGCGCCTCTGCACCCCACCCCACCCCTATCGACTCCACCAGAACCCAACCCCATAGAAGAGAAAAGGGAGGAGTCTGGGGGGTGTGGCTTCCTGCCCCAAGCCCAGGTCTGGCCTCATACCTCGCTCTGCTTGTGCTCCCCACCACAGATCTCAGCTGAGGACAAGCCACCCTGAGGCAAGGAACTCTACCCAGGTAGTCTCTGGCCTGGGTTCCCTGAACCTTGTCTGCCATGGGCACTATTCCAGGTCCCCTAAGAATCTCGTGCCCCAACCCCTGGAGGGAGTGATCCGATGCAGAGCTCCAGCTACACACCTCAGCACCCTGGGGGGGGCCCCCCCCCCCAGCTCCCTGGACCCTCTGCTGAAGCTTGGGAAGGCCTGCGCTGCACGGCTCTTGGCAGGGCTGGGTCCCTGGGACCTTCAGGAGCTGACATCGAGGTCTGCCTGGCATTTCTGCTCTCAGTGAGGAACAAGAAGATCAGGAGGAACAGGTGACTACCCTGGGCCACCCATTGGCCACAGCCCAGCTGGGATAAGTGGAGACTGGTGGTGAGGGCCCCGATGACAGCATGGGAGCTGTTGAAAGCCCAGCTAGGAATCCCACAGGAGTTAGAGGGCAGCCCTCATCATACCTGGAACCCTATAACCCACTCCAGGATCCAGTGGAAATGTTAAAGGAAAAAAAAGCATCTGAACAGACGCTGTGGTCCAAGGCTAGCAAGCACATTCCGTGTCTACCAGGACAGCCGTGGGACTTAGTGGACTATGTGGAAAGAGTAGAAGGAAGTAGATTTCTGGGTTTTTTGGGAGAAACCAGTCAGTGAACAAATTCCCCCAGTTATATAAAAGTTGACTTGAGATCTGAAAAAAATGGGAAGGTGAAGAAACCACATCTGTGGCTGCTCTTACCAAATCCAGCATATGGTCTTATTCTGTTGGCCAGAAGGGTCAAGGTCACTCCTGGAAAGTGAGGCCAGAGCCATCCATGGTGATCAGCCAGGCCCTGTGGGTTTCTGGCTCCAGCTCGATTCTCAGGCACAGGATTCTCCTGGGAGCACAGGTATGGAGCCAGGCTAGGCAAGGCATCTACCCATGGTCTTGTATCCTCCTTCTTCTGAGAGGGGCCACACCTGGGCCTCCTGATCCAGACCAGTCCCCTACTTCCTGGCTGTGTGACTTGGGGCAGATTGTTTAATCTTACTAAATCCCAGGGGCCTCCTGGGTTGTACCAGGACAGGTCCCTGACTAGGTTGAGGGCAGGAAGGGGCAGCACCTTATAGGTTGGGGCCACCAGCTGCCTAACTGCTTCCCTGAACCTCAGATCACAGTTCCAGGAGGTTGAAGCAATCAGGACTCAATTTGGTTGCGAATGACAGAAGTCACTTTGAAGTGCCTCCAGTGAAGATGGGAACTTATTGAGCCTTGATACCAAGAATTCCAGGAATAAATCTGGCTTCGGCCCCAGCTAAACCCAGGGGCTCCAAAAAATGTGCATCTTCAGGGCTCCTGATGGCCCAGTTAGTTGAGTGTCCTGATTCTAGATTTCAGCTCAGGTCATGATCTCAGGGTCATGGGATCAAGCTCCGTGTCAGGCTTTATGTTCAGTGTGGAGCCTGCTTAAGATTCTCTGTGTCTCTCCCTTTCTCTCTTTCCCTCTTTCCCTCTGTTCCTTTCCCCTGCTCGTGCTGTCCCTCTCTCTCTCTCTCTCTCTCTCTCAAAAAACAAATGTGCACCTGTCTCCATCCTAGAGATCTGTTTTGCTCTGGATTGCCTCACTCTTGGACAGCTCCTCCCCACCCCACCCCAAAGTTGACAAGAGGGTCCCCAGCATCACCAGTCTACCCTCCAGACAGCTGTGCCACCAGACAGGGAAGAAACTCATCTTTTCTGATCTCTCCCATGTCCCTGAGCAGGTTGTCAAGAGCTCAGCATGAGCCACATGCTGATTCCTGAACCAATCCCAGGGCCAGGGGGACCTAGTGGCTATGTGGTCCAGGTCACATAACTAGTCCCAAAGCAGGAGGGATAATGGGCTAGCAGATGCAGATACCTCCACAGGGGTCCTAGCATCCATGCCACTCCTCACTGGGGAGCTGGATGGGAGATAGATCTGGAAGCTGCTAGGATCCCAGGGCTCCTGGTGTCTTGGTGCTTGCAAAGGGCCTGATGACACCATGCTGTTCCCACCTCAGTTACATAGGGTGGGACTCAAGTTCCCATCTCTGGGCTGGGGCAGAACAGCCTCATCTCCAGACTCCAAACTCCAGCTATCATTGTCAGCAGTGGGACCTTTGCACATGCCTGAACTTCCCTTCTCCAGTCTGTTAACTTCCTCTGGCAAGCTGCCCTGGGTCTACACTGACCTGTACCAACTCCAGCCCCAGCCCAGTCCCAGGCAGAGTCTGGCCCCCTCCCCACCAACCTGCCCTGCCCCCTCCCTGTCTCCCAATCCCAACCTGGAATGTTCTTGTTCTCCTGGTGTCACTGGATTAATGTCTGCCTCCCACCACTCCGTAAGTGCCACATGAGTCCCTGGAATGGACTATTTCCACTCATCATTAAGTCCCATTAAGCATCAGGACAGGTATGAAGCAGCTGCTTAGGAATGAGGGAATGAATGGATGAACGAAATGAACGTGACCCTTCAGAGTGAAGGGTGAAAGGCAAACACAGCTGCTCCAGAACCGGTTCCACTGTTTCCCAGCAGGATGACTCAACCAAACCCCTTCCTTACTTGGCTGAGCCTCAGTTTCCTCAACGGGCAAGTGGGTAAACCAAACACCTTCTCCCCCGTAGGACCTGCAGAGCCCTGGTGAAGCTACAGAGATTAATTACATCAGGAAAAATGCCAGAGACAAGACGCAAAAAGTTTCGTTTTGTGCTCTAACACGACTGGGGAGGATCTGTTTAGAATATCAAGATTTTTTTTTTTTTAAGTAAAATAAAAAACACCAGATGGCTTCAAAGTACGCCAGTGTTGGGCCAGTTCTCGTGACCTTCCTCGGGAGACCGAGGCCCGGAGCGCAGTGGGGAGGGGAGGAGACGGCCGGGAACCAGGGCGGAGGAACTCAAGTCTCAGTGACTCACAGCTGGGCCCCATTCGGGCTCTAGGCGGGTGGGCGGAGAAGCCCCTGGCTTGTGCAGGCCAGTGCGCTGAGGACAGGTCCGCCAGCGCTGCTCACAGGTCCGCCAGGGCTGCTCCGGGAGGGGGTGGTTCCCTGGGTCGCTCCTGCTTGGCTCACGACCTGGGGGGAATCCTCATCTTGAAGCTCCGGCTCTCCAGGAAATCCCGGGTTCGAATTCTGCCACCGCCAGAATTTGTCAATTCCGGCTGCCCTGTTTTGGCAAAGTCGCTTTCCACCTCGGAGGGGGCCTCAGTTTTCTCATTTATCAATCAGGCTCTAGAGTTCTCTCCTTACAGAGAGGGGACCAGGCTTGAACACCTACAGTGTGCAGCGATTCTGGTGCCCTCGGAGAAGCCCGGCAAACAGAAGGGCGCACAGGGGAACACGTGCGTCACGCCCGCCACCGTGCTCTGCGTCTTAATCCTCACCAGGACCAGGCAGGTAGGTTCCATTGTCATCCCATTTTACAGACTGGGAAACTGAAGCACAAAGCGATTCAGTCCCCTGTCCAAGGTCCCACGCCTAGACCGAGCCTGAGTCTGGGTCTGAACTCAGACGGTCTCCACCCCCCGGTCCATCTTCAGGACCCGACACCCAGGCGTTACAGACTGAACTTGAGCCTGGGAGCCGCCCCTCGCCCAGCTCCCTGACTCCTGGGGGCCCAGGCCCCACCGTTGTCACGACAACCGGGGACCAATGGGGAGCAGGCAGGCGGGAGGAGGCCCCGCCCTGGCCCCGCCTCTGGCGGAGGGCTCCGAGCTATAAGGTCCTGAGGCCGAGCGGCGGGAGTCCAGGCCCGCGGAGCGCCAGGCGCGCACGGAATTCCGAGTGTCCAGAGCGCGCAGAGTCCCAGAGCCGCGAAGGGCGCAAGCAGCAGCCACGATGTGCGGTGAGTGTGGTGGCCGCGGGTTCCGGCTCCCCAGTGTCTCGGCGCCTGGGCCCGAGAGCCGGGCGCCGGGGACCCGGAGGTGGTGCGGGATGGGGGCATCGATCTGTCCAGGTCCGAGAAGGGGCTTTCACCGACCGGGCCTGCCTCCTTCTGCCCCTTGTCTCCGAGTGGGTGTCCCAGGGAGGGGTGGGGGAGAAGGGTGCCCAACCCTGGTGTCGGACTTGGTGAGGGCGACCCGGCCCGGCCGCCCACGGAGGGGACGAAATTGGTCCTGTCCCGGGCCTGGACCCTCACAACACAGAGGTATCCTCCCTCCCTCCCCACGTCCAGTGAGAAAAGCACCCCAAGTCGCCCACAAAGGCGGCCACGCGCAAGCTCACGCATCCAGGGCGCGGGGTGCCCAGCACTGCTCTCAGCCCACCGCGCCCACCCAGGAGAGGCGACCCCACCTGCAACCTCCCGGCAGCCGGCCGGGCTCGTCCCCGTGGCGTCGGGAGCTGCCCTCGTGCGCTCGGGAAGGGCCTGTGCGTTCTCCTCGCGTGCCAAAATGAACCTCTTGTCCCTAGAAGGGTCGATTCCATGTTGCCACCTCTTTGCTGAAAGAGCTCTCGGCGAAGCTTGGGGGGAAAGGCAGCATGGACCGCCGAGCCTCGAGGCAAAGCTGGGAGAAGGAGTCCGGGACGAGGAGTGGGGCTGGGCTCCGGTGTCCTGAACACCGCGGCGCCTCGGCGCTGTCCCGGGAGACTGCTGGGCCATGGCGAGGGCTGCTGCGGCCCTGCGCGCACATCTGCAATTCCTTACTCTCCTGGCTGGGCCGCCTCCGCTGGCTGGGGAGAGGGCCGGGAACTTGTGCTGGGACAAAAGGTCACTGTGCCTTTTTTATTTTTTTTCCTTGAGTAGGATTCAGTTACCCATTCCAGCCTCCTGTGGCTGGAGGACCTGGTGGAACTTTTGAAGCCATGAAAGGCCTCTGTCTGACTTCGCCGAGGGCTGTGGGGCGGGATGTGCCAGCGGTGAGCCCTGGGCCAAGATCTGTACAGGCCTTGTTTCTGAGGCCAACGGCTCCTGAAAGTGTAAAAGAACCACTGACCAAGGAGCCCACAGCTCACTTTGGGATGCAGACTCCCCCAGGCCAAGCGGGCATCAATTTAAATTCCTGAACTTTCAGCAAAAATCTCCGGGCTACAGGGCATCGTTAACAATGTATAGGGCTGCCTTGGATGTTGAGAGAGAGAGAGAGAGAGAGAGAGAGAGAGAAGAAGCAGCAAAGGTGGCAGTTTTGCCAGAAGCCCTTTGGGTTCTAAACCCTTCAGTGTGGCATTCAAGGCCCCTGGCCAACTGGTGGCCTTAAGTGGGCATCAATTTAAATTCCTGAACTTTCAGCAAAAATCTCGGGGCTCCAGGGCATCGTTAACAATGTATAGGCCTGCCTGTGGATGTTTCCCGCAAGAGAGAGAGAGAGAGAGAGAGAGAGAGAGAGAAGAAGCAAAGGTGGCAGTTTTGCCAGAAGACCTTTGGGTTCTAAACCCTTCAGTGTGGCATTCAAGGCCCCTGGCCAACTGGTGGCCTTAGAGCCAGACTAGTGCACTGACCAAGACCCTTGCTCTGCCTCTCTAGCACTGGCAATTTCCCTCCTTTCTCCTCTCAGGTGCCCTTCTGGGCCCGCCTCTCCCCCAGCCTGCCTTCCTGCTTCCAATTTGCATCTAGCTTTCTCTGTTGTCTCTCTCAGCCCATCTCTGCAAAGAGAGATGGGCTCAGACTCTCCAAATCTGGGGTCCTGTTCTGCTCTCTTAAAGGGCTGCATATGTCTTGTCCCCTAAGGAAAGGATGAGTTTGGCCCTGTGACTACCTATATCCCTACATCAAGCCCCCCCACCCCAGCGTATCCCACCCACCTTGCAGCCCTTGGTTAAGTCAAGGAGTGATATCCAACATGGGAAAGTTATTTCTTTTCACCTGGGTGCTAATGTGTCATTTACAGAGCCCCTTCCCCCCCCCCCGACACTGGCTGAGCACCCCTTGCATGGAGAAGGCCATCCCAAGTCAAACCTGACAATAGCTGCTGTCGAGAATTAAACACATTGTTTTCGTTTTTTGTTTGTTTGTTTGTTTCTGGATAATGGCCTGTGTGTGCATGACAAGGGATACTGGTTTTCCTTTTTATGGTTGTGTTCTTTTGTGGAGCATTTATGTCAGTTTTCAAACACTTGGTCAATTTTATAGAAAAATGTTAAGGCAATGATTGCATACTTGGTACAAGGACAGGGCAGAAATTGTGAAGAAGCTCCTGGAATAAGTCGCTTACCCTCGTCAACTTTCCATTTGGGGAACTGGAAGCCGAAGGGGTCTGCACATGCCTATGTCTGAGCAGGAGCAGTCTCCGGTCTTCTCTCTGGGCTGGCTGTGGCCCTGCTGTGATCTGCCACCTCGAATGCCACCTGTGATGTGGTCACATCTTCAGGGCTGTTCCGTCCATGGTCAGCAGGGGTTGAGCTGAGAGCCTTCCCTTCAGCTGCTAATGACCAGGCTTAGGTTGGCTCTTACTCCCCGTTGTCTACGCCACTTCTCCCGCAGAAACCTGGACCCAGTGCTAGCTGACCCTGCACACACTGAGAAGATGTCCCTCAGAGCTTCAGTGCACTGAGAGTTTAGCTGAGGGACAGGTAGGTTTTGTTGACATCTGAGAGACGCTGGCATGTTGCTGTCTGCCAATAGAAAGGTTACTATCTTCCCATTCATCCTCTCCTTCCTTCTTTGCTCAGCCATTAGTGAAGTGCTGCTCCTGGAGATGTCCTGTGTTTTCCAGGCCCTGGGGCCACATGGGCACGAGCCTCCCCTCAGAGAAGGGGCAAGGAGTTGGAGAGGCAGGTGGTCACCAAGCAGGGATGGGGTAGCTCACTAGGTAAAAGCTGCCACAGAGAGAAGACATCTGACACAAGCCACAGCCTGGTAACTCTGTGCCAAACCAGTCGGCAGACATCTTTCTGTGTGGTACACAGGGCTTAAACTTTATGTTTTAAAGTCTTCCATTACAAAATTGGGAGATTTCACATAAGTAGGGAGGATTTTCAAGTTCTCTTGAAAAAATCTGAAGATGAGCAGCCCTGAGTTATATATATCTGAATAATGCACGGTGGCCCCTAGGATAATGGGTGCTAGCTCACCAGTCCTCCTGCCCAGCTGCCTCACTCACTGATGTTACCTGATGGCCCACATGCAGTCTGAGTTGAGACCCCAGCACAGCAGAGGCAGGGAGCACTAACTTTCCCAGGAACAGTACTGCAAGAGCCTGGCCTCAAGTATGAGCTCCACAGAGAGAAGAGGGTGACAGGTGTGCCAGGCTGAGAGCACAGCACGTTCAAGGGCATGGAGGTGTAGACCATGCATGCATGAGAGTTTGGCAAAAAGGATTGCACTTACCATCCGTGAATTCTTTTTTTTTTTAATGTTTTATTTATTTTTGAGAAAGAGAGAGAGAGAGAGAGAGCATGCAAGGAGGGGAGGGGTAGAAAGAGGGGGGCAGAGAATCCGAAGCAGGCTCTGCACTGACAACAGGGACCCCAGTGTGGGACTTGAACTCACAAACCATGAGATCATGAGCTAAGCTTATGTCAAGTCAGACGCTCAACCAAGTGAGCCACCCAGTTGCACCCCCATCCATGAATTCTTAAATCTGCCCTATCTTTTACTCCTGCATTTAGTAATTTATGAGAGGGGAGGAAAAAAACTTGGCCATGGAAAATTAGCAAATTCTTAGATTTTGCTAGAAGGTAAAAAGACTTTGAAGTCGTTATCTTTTGTCTTAGTTGGTATATTAGTTTCCGCTGGCTGCTGTAACAAATTAGCACAGACTTGTTGCTTTAAAACAACCTAAATTTATTTTCTCACAGTTTCGGAGGCTAGAAGTCCAAAACTCAGTTTTATGGGACCAAAATCAAGGTGTCAGCAGGGCCCCACTTTCTCTGGACACTCTAGGGAAGAATCTGTCCCTTGCCTCTTCCAGCTTTGGTGGCTGCCAGCATCCCTCGGCTTGCATCTCTTGATTCCAGTCTGTGCCTCTGTGGTCACCTCACCTTCTCTTCCATGTCAAATGTCTCTCTGCCTCCCTTTCATAACAATACTTGTGACTGCATTTAGGGCCCAAGTGGATAATACAGGAAAGTCTCCCATCTCAAGATCTTTAATTTAATCATATCTCCAAAGACCTTTTTGCATCAAGATATTTTTATAGCTTCCAGGGATTAGGACCCGATATCTTTGAGGGCCATTGTTTATTTATCCATTATCCAATAATTTTTAAAAACATTTTTAGTGTTTATTTCAAGAGAGAGAGAGAGAGTATGTGATCAGGGGAAGGGCAGAGAGAGAGGTAGACACAGAATCCAAAGCAGGCTCCAGGCTCTGAGCTGTCAGCACAGAGCCTGACCCAGGGCTTGAAGGCTTGAACTCATGAACTGTGAGATCATGACCTGAGCTGAAGGCAGACGCTTTACCGACTGAGACACCCAGCTTCCCCTATCCATTATCCAATAATTTATCCATTATTATTTGGGCTCTGGCTTTTAGGTGCCTTCCCCAAGAATAGTCCAGTGTTGCTAATCTCAGATGGTCAAGTCATGGCCACAGGGATGTTGGCCAGAGGCTACCAGTCTCCCCTCTATGTCTGACACACACATGGAAGTGCCCTGGTCCCAGAACTTGCAGACTGGACCCACCATAGTCAGAAGGTGAATGTAGGCATCAGTTAAAGACCCCATCCTTCACTGGCATGGTGCTACATACCCCGTTTGACCAAATAGTTTCCAGTTTTTCTAGAAGTCAGGGCTTGTGTCCTGTAAATATGGCACTCACTCCATTTGGCCTCCATGCATGTAGATATTCTTCCTACTCATCTCTTCCCTGTGAGAAGCAGGTGTGGTTTCATTCCCCAGAATCAAAAGGGGCCAGGACACACACACACACACACACACACACACACACACACACACACACACACACGT